TGAACTTCCGAATGCGTCCAGGACCTGCGAGAACTAAAGTCATACCTATCATCTCCGCCTCTACATTCAAATCCCGAGACGGAGGAGCGTCTCCTCTTCTATTTGGCCGTACCCGAGGTAGTTGTGAGCGCAGTCTTAATTCGAAAAAACAAAGGTATGCAATCTCCCATCTATTACATTAGCAAAACACTTGTCGACGACGAGTGAGGTACCTGCACCTCTAAAAATTGGCTTTGGTTTTAGTCGTAGCTTCACGAAAGCTTAGACTATATTTCCAATATCACCCTATCTCGGTCGTCATGACCTTCCCCCTCAAAAGCATTTTACATAAACCCGAACTATCGGGAAGGCTGGCCAAGTGGGCCATCGAGTTGAGCGAGCACAATATCACTTATCAGCCGCGAACGGCGATAAAGTCACAAGTACTCCCCGACTTCGTAGCCGACTTCAGCGTAAAGACAACGCTTGAAGTCGGAAGGGAAGCCGTCTAAACCTTCCTCCAAACACAAGACCTCTGGGTCCTATACATCGATGGTGCATCCAACGCGTCGGGGTCTGGATTGGGACTCGTACTCGAAGTCCCAACATACGAAGTAATTCGCCAATCCATAAGGTGCCCGGATATAACTAACAATGAGGCCGAGTATGAGGCTGTAATTACAGGTCTAAGGCTAGCACTCAAATATGGATCAAAAAGGTTGAACTTGCATTGCGATTCCCAGGTCACAGTCAATCAAGTCACGGGGACTTTCCAAATCAAGGAACAAAGGTTGCAAAAGTACCATACCAAAATCTGCAAGTTACTGCCAGAGTTCGATAAATATCAGCTAGACCAAATCCCACGGGCACGGAATATCGAGGCAGATGGCCACTCTAAACTAACCGCAGCCACCAAAAGCATCGCAACCGGAGACAAAAATGTGGTCCACCTCCTCAACTCATCATTAGACCAAGTCGAGGTAAGAACCATAAACCTAACTTGGGATTGGCGCAATCGTATTGTCGCATACTTGCAGGATGGCATGCTCTCTAGCGATAAAAAGGAGGCCAAGAAACTAAGAATGCAAGTGGCCAGGTACAATATCCTTCGCAGTGATCTGTACAAGAGGAATTACGGCAGCCCTCTGGTGAAGTGCTTGGGCCCGAACCAAACTCAGCGTGTCCTCGAAGAAGTTCACGAAAGCTATTGTGGGGCTCACTCCGGCAACCGGGCACTGGTCAGATGCCTCATACGGGCAGGATATTACTGGCCAACCATGAAAAGGGATGCCGCACACATTTTAAGGCGATGCGAGCAGTGCCAAAAGTATGCCCCAATGATTCACCAAGCAGGAAAACATCTCCACTCAGTCATATCCCCTTGGACATTCATCAAATGTGGAATAGATATCGTGGGGCCCCTACCAGCGGGGCGAGGTAATGTACAATTCCTTTTGGTTTTAATTGACTATTTCTCTAAATGGGTGGAAGCAGGAGCATTCGCCCAAATACGAGAACAGGAAGTAATCACCTTTATATGGAGAAACACGATCTGTCAATTCGTCCATCCTAAAGAAATCAGTTGTGACAACAGACCCAGTCACAGGAAAGAAAACCACCGAATTCTTTGAGAAATGGCATATCAAGAGGATACTCTCGACCCCGTACCACCCCGCTGGTAACGGACAAGCAAAATCATCCAACAAGTCAATACTAAACATCATGAAGAAGAAGCTCGAAGACACCAAGGGACTGTGGCTAGAAATACTACCAGAAGTATTGTGGGCCTACCGAACAACTTCGAAAATAAGTACATGAGAGATGCCCTACTCTTTGGTCTACGGGACCGAGGTAGTAATATCAGTCGAGGTAGGAGAACCCAATCTAAGGTACTCTCATGAGAGCATCACGAGTAACGATAAGAGTAGAAGGCAAGAACTCGACGAAGTTGACGAACGAAGAGATATGGCCTACATAAGAATGGTCGCCCAAAAGTAACAAGTAGGACGCTATTACAATAAGAAAGAAAAGGTCAGGCCGCTCAAAGTCGGGGACTACATACTGAAAGCTAAAACTCAAGCGGAAAAAGATCCCAGGGAAGGTAAGATGGGAACAAATTGGGATGGTCCATATAAAATCACAACCGAAGCAAACAAGGGTTAGTTCTAATTAGAGACAATGGAAGGAAAGCTACTACCAAATAATTGGAATATCAGCCACCTTAAATGCTTCAACTTCTGAGAGAAAAAGCGTCCCTCAAGCCGTTCTCTTTTTTCCCTCACTTGAGTTTTGTCCCATTTGGGTTTTCTCAAGGAGATTTTTAACAAGGCGACGAAGGGAACGTTTCAAGTCGAAGTACACTAAGGTAGGGACATGGTTATTATTTAATTGCTCGACCTCTCACTATTCTCTAGATTAACCAATGAAGGGACTAGATAGACCGGGACTGGGATTGGAATGCCAGCCAATACCCAAAAATCTGTAGATTTCTCCAAGTATGTAACAAAAGCAACAATGTCAAGTCAATAAACTTTACACTTATCAGCATGCCTTCCTCGCATTCAGGTTATGTTCGACCTTGCTCGAACTAACACTTACCGACCCTCGGCCATAATTAAATTCAGGTTATGTTCGACCTTGCTCGAACTAAAACCTACCAGCCCTCGGCCATAATCAAATTCAGGTTATGTTTGACCTTGCTCGAACTAACACTTACCGGCCCTCGGCCATAATTAAATTCAAGTTATGTTCGACCTTGCTCGAACTAACACCTACCGTCCCTCGGCCATAAATAAATTCAGGTTATGTTCGACCTTGCTCGAACTAACACCTACCGGCCCTCAACCATAATTAAATTCAGGTTATGTTTGACCTTGCTCGAACTAACACCTACCTGCTCTCGACCATAATTAAATTCAGGTTATGTTCGACCTTGCTCGAACTAACATCTATCGGCTCTCAGCCATAATTAAATTCAAGTTATATTCGATCTTGCTCGAACTAACACCTACCGGCCCTCAGTCGCAACTTAAACCAAAGGTTATGTTTGACCTCGCTCGAACTAACACCTACCGGCCCTCGGTCACAACTTAAACGAAAGGTTATGTTCGACCTCGCTCGAACTAACACCTACCGGCCCTCGGCCACAACTTAATGAAAGGATGTGTTCGACCCCACTCGAACAAATACCTATTGGCCCTCGGCCACAATTTAATGAAAGGTTAGGACCAAATAATTCGACGCCCTCGGCCATATCTCAACACGCAAAAAAGGAAAAAAGGAAGCAAACAATGCGTAATCGGCTCCAAGGCCATGGCCAGCAAAAGACAACACCAACAAAAGAAAGAGCAAAGGCAACCAAACAAAAGAAGCAAAAAACATACAAGTACAAAAAATAAACCACAGGAAAGGAAACAGATGCAGAGAACAACTTTGGCATTTCATACTTAAAAACATTTTTACAAAGGCTCGTGAAGACGCCGGCAAAAATACACAAAAGTTTACAAATAAAAAGAAGAAGAAAAACTATTGATCACCACCATCTTGATCTTCTGCGCCTTCACCGCCTTGGCCACCGATTCCCTCGCCATTTTGGTCCCCCTTGCCACCATCGCCTTCGCCCTCCGGATAAGCGGTATACAGCTCATGGGGATGATACACCACTGCCAAGGGGGCATACAGCTCCCCTCACCCGACTCAGAAGGCATGTTAGACATCGTCCTCAGCAAGAGAGAAGGGTTTCGAAAGAAGAAGAAGAATAAAGAACGATATAAGTCTCATAAATAAAAGAAAAGAAGTGCTCTGCAAAGGAAATAAGATAAGCTGGTGCTAGAGGAGAAGAAGGAGTTTGAAAAGTCCCAGAATCGAAAAATCTTCCCCTATTTATAAGTTTGGGAGACACCAGAATCGAAACCATGTGGGACATAATTAGCACGAAAATTGAACCGACAGAGCCAATCAAGAGTTCCACCTGAATCGATGCAATGCATCGGGAAACGATGTCATTATGACGCACGATGCCATGACGTCACCTCTTCTCTTGGCCCAGATAACCCCCAACTAGCTTCCCCGTCAATTTGATAAATTTAAAATATACGGACCCCAAAAAGCCACATAGTCCTATCTCCACGACCACGACCCCTGCCAATTATGAACGATATTGTTCGCTCATCGACCTCGTATGTGGGCACGACCTTAATATGCGGAGGGGACTAACTGTATGGGTTAAAATATGCCCTTAGAATATTTAAGACGAGATAATACTAAGGGAAAAATTCTCAAGTTGTCGTTAGTCGAGATGGCCAAAGAAGCAGCAAAATTCGTAGTCGAAGAATCGACGAGAGTCGTAGTCGAGATGTCAACAAGGGTCGAGGTCGAGTATCGTTGATAGAGCTGTAACGGCTAGTTTTCAAGATAAGATATTAAAAGAAAATATTCTAGTGGATATTCTCTACACTTGTAATATTAGGGTTTCTTAGGAACATGTCCTACATATATAGAAAAAAGAGACAATGATAGGGCATGTGATATTCATTTGTAAAGAACGCACTTTGACTAAAGGATTTTCTCTCTCTTGCTAAGATACAAACACCACATTTTCACTAAGATTCTTGTCAAGACTTTTCCATTAGATTCGAGAATAACTTGAAGGATTTAAGGATTTGTCTGTCATTCGTCATTGTCAGGAGGAACATCCACATATTCCATCCTTTATTGGGTGAATCATTCCCCTAAATTACTTAAACGATATTTATTGCTATTTATTATTATTGAAAGTTACATTATTGCTCTTGCCTTCTAGAACAATTATTATATATTGTTGTTATTGCCTGACCGGATCCATCCACATTTATTGCATCTTTGAAAACTCTATCTAGGATATTACTGCTAACTAAGATTAATTTTTAATTACATAAATTTAATTATTTGAACCAAAATTTATATTTTTTGGTTAAACAGGAGGTGTGAAAATGGTGGATGGAGTAATAACTAATAAGAAAGAAGTAAACAAGAAAGAGAATAAGAGAAAAGAGGAAAAGAAAAACAATGAAATTTTAGGGTTTTCGCGTGCAATCATCAGGTGCAAGTACCACATCCTCAAAAGGTGGTATTAATCTTATTTCAAACAAATGTAGATGGGACTCTCGCAAAGTGCAATCGGTAAAGTGAGATAATATAAGGGCTAATTATGTATTATCCCAATAAAATACGTAGAAAACAAAGGCGATACTTCGACCCATATGCTTATCCTTCACCATCACAAGATTTCAAGAAATGCTCTGCTTATCCAGTTGTCCTATTTTGCGCCATTTTCCGGTTGATTTTTAGCAGTCTGAATCTCACACTCCAAAACTCCTCCTTTAACATTCCCCGTCCGTATCTTCCGAGTTTTGCATAAATTTATACTCCAACTGTTGATTTATTCTTCACTTTTCTCAGTGTTTTGCCGAATTGGATTGTTTTTTTTCTTCATGGTAGCTGTTACTGCTCAGTACCCATTTGGTATCTGCCCTCATTTCCATGGAAATTCAAGGCTAATCTCCCCTGAAACGGAGTTCTATTCTGTGAATTTTCCTCCCAGAATTGGATATTCAAGATTGAGTCTTCACTCAAAGGTACTTTTTTTCTCCTTTTTTTTTTCATTTGACATGTGGTGTTGAATTATTCTGGTCATGTACTTTTAGTTAGTTTGGAATTTGATGAATTAATTGACTGGGAAATCCTTCTGTAATAAATATGGAATTTTCTTGATTCTGTTAGCTTTTCGCTGTGAGGTTCAGCTTAACAAGAGTGTTGTTTGTGTGGGAAGAAGAGATCATAGTTGACCCTTTTAAGCCAGCTAAGTTGTGATGTACTTCTAGTTAGCTAAGCATTTGATACACATTATCCATGAGGTAGCAGTTGCAATCAGTTGCTGTTTTTATTGGGATTCCTGGTTGTCATCGCTCGATCACTTCCCTTTCCACTAAGTGATATGATTTCTTAGGGACCTTAGCGTACGATCTGGGGTGTTTCCCTGATCTTGACTTCATCATGAATAGGAGTATCATTCAGCATTTTGATAGAAAATGGTGGTGTAACAAGTTGGTGTTCTTGGTCAGAATTTGGTCTTGGAATGCGAATGCATCTACAGGCCTTTGTTCTTACCTATATTCCTAGTTGTTGGCCCTAGCCTCAGGCTAAACGTACCTTGTCCTGTGATTCAAGAGGGTTATCCTTCTTTGGGTAGCATATTAACATAGTACTAGTTACTTTTGAGAACACTTCTGAAGTAAGCATTATGAGGCTACTATAGTAAATGCAGCTAGTTGTTAGGAGCTGGTAGACCGCCCGCCAATAAGAATGAGGATAAATACTTTGTCTGATGAAGCAATGGATATTGTGGTTGGATGCCAGTGTAGAACAAAGTGGTTGGTGAGAGTAGTCAGGAATCCGAGCATAGAATCTTGTTCGGTGGCATGCTTTTATTATATCAGTGCTGAGAACAGTTTTCAAAAAAGAGAAAAACATATAGTGTGTCATCCCACACTTGTTGCCCCCATTCAATATAACTCTTGGAGAGCTATTTTATTCTACATTTCATGTATTGCGTTTTCTAGGACTAAATTAGAATCCATCTGTGTCTCTAAGACTCTAACGGTGATGTATACAACACAATAAAACACTCATCTCTCTATGCATATGCAGTTTTAATACTCAACGCCATTGCTTGCATATACCAAAAGCTTTTGAGTAACTGTTGTGTGGTCTTCAACTCTTCTTATTGCAGGATCATGTTGCTGAAGTATATTCTTTACCATTTGACAGTGATTTCTCCGGTGAAAATGAGACAACAGCGATTCTTGATGCAATTGAAAGTCCCATGAACCTTAAGAATTTATCAACCCAGGTCAAATTATTACAAATTGTCCTCATCTGAGCCTTGAAAGTCAAGGAGCCATATTGGCTGACTACGACCAACTTGATGCAGGAACTGAAACAACTGGCTAATGAAGTTCGATCAGAATTATCCTTTATCATTGCAAAAGCTCAAAAACCTTCCAGATCCAGTCTCGCTGTGGTAGAGCTGACTGTTGCTATTCACCATGTATTTCATGCTCCTGTGGACAAAATATTGTGGGATGTAGCTGAACAAGTAAGATCCACTTGGTAATATACCAGAAATGGTAGATCATAATTGTTATAACCCCCAAACACCCCCTCTTTCTGTTGAATATTAATGGTGGAGAACCTTTATTGATTAGGGTTTCAGGTCTATAGTATTATGAGGATTGAACTTAGTTTGATAACATTTTTAATTATAGTATCTGCAATTTCTAAAATAACATGTGAAGCTAGGAAGTTATGCAACTCCAACACTTAGGACTCATATATAAGATGAAATAATCATGGTATAAAATTTGGTATTGCTTTATCCAGCATTTGGTTTGTACTCCGAATCTTGCATAGTTAATCTTGGTAAAATTTAAAACACCGCTTGGTTTATTATTTTATGCCTAATATAGCATGGGATAATAATACTTGGATTAAACGCAAAAAGGACAAAATTACCCTGTCTTTTCCTCAAACCCATCATCAACATCATATATATCCCATTTTTAGTACAAAGAACAAACACCTAATAATAGCTACATTACACTCCATGTATTATTAATCCCTGCACTACTAATCCCTGTATTACAACCTGCATAAAGAACTGTTTAGGTTCCAATTCGAGAAAGTTTTCTTATGGTAAAAAAGTTTGTATTTTGACATTTTGGGTAGACATATGCACATAAACTTCTCACTGGAAGGAGGCAAATGATGCAAACACTTGGAGAACCAAATGGTCATCCTGTGACACCACCAGATTTTGAGAGCGAATTTGACCCTTTCGCAGCAGGGCATGGATGCAACAGCATATCTGCTGGACTTGGTAGTGTCCATGCTTCTACTTTTCCCTTTCTCAGCTAAGAATATCTTTCCTTTGCTTCTTCAATTATTTCTCGGAAATTCCTGACCACTGAAGGTTACTATAAGAAGTTCTTATTTTAAAATTTAATTCTTGTTACAACTTACTGCATTAAAAGTTGCCCCCATAAATCCATCAAAAATTCAAAAAGTTGTCCAGTTTTTATTCAGAAAAAGATCAATATAGGTGATACCTAGAAGTTGGGAATAGTTTTTAGACTTGTTAGAGAATTCTGATATTATATATATATATATATATATATATATATATATTCAACTCCTTTTCACTTCGACTTTTATTTTATTTTGATAAGACGATGATATGAGTTGTGCTTGAAGAAAGAAGTGAGGATTCATATACCCGAACCCAACTTGTTTGGGACTGAGGCGTAGTAGTTGTTGTTGTTGTCCAGTTTTGATTCGTATGATATTCATCAATCATGTAATATAGATACTTAGACTAGAGTGTCACCTTTAACAGGAATGGCTGTTGCCCGTGATTTTAAGGGGAAGCGTGATCGTATAGTGGCAGTGATCAACAATGAAACAACTATGGCTGGCCAAGTTTATGAGGCAATGAGCAATGCGGGATATTTGGACTCAAATATGATTGTGATATTAAATGATAGTCAGCATTCGTTACACCCAAAGCTTGAGGAGGCCTCTAAGACACCTATTAATGCTTTGTCAAGTACTCTCAGCAAACTTCAGTCAAGTAAATTTTTCCGGAGGTTTAGGGAACTTGCTAAGGTATTTCCCTATTATATTTACAAAAGTAACAAAATGCCCCTACCCACATTAAACAGGAAAAAGTTGGGCCAACTGCAAAATCCTTATTTGATATACATGTTGCACAAGTACTATGCCTTTTTCAAGCACCACAAAGAAGAAATCAGAAAATTAAAACATGCAAAAGCTTTATGTTCGATGAGGACTGAATTTAACTGCCAACCCTAATCAGCAAGCCGAAAAACTTTCTCCTTTCTCTAATAATAAGGTAGCTCCAACCTATGCAAGGGGGTCGTTAGATTGCCGCTTACTAAGTGCTGGTTCTATCCCGGCCAAGCAACCAGGTTCCTTTGAGTAAGAAAAAGGTACTCTTCCCACATTTGGTGACTTCCCTTCTGTGTAGGCTACCTAGCAGAGAAGAGAAAAAGGAAAAGGACAAAAAAGGGGAGAACAAAAGAAAGGAAAAAGCACGGCTTTTCTTCCTCGAACTTAATTTTCATAAAGAGAGCAGATAAACTTAATGTGACTTGCAGGTAAGGTTTTTAGGTTTAGGCCAACATTATACGTCAGTTAACCCACAAAATTAACAGAATTTTTTTCCGGTTTCCACCTTCTGTTTTAGTAGTTCTGCATTTCAGTGAGGTCAATGTTGCAGCTCTATGCTAGTAAATCTGAGAGTTTGTGGTAGTATATTGACTTGCTGATTTTGACAGGATAGTTTATATCGGGAATATTATCTTCATTTTCCCTTTTCCCTTTTCTTTTGTTGTAACTTATTGAAATTTATCTCTTACTTATCAAAAAAACTCAAAAATGGTAATTGGTTTTGAGTTTGTTTTTGACATAAATTGTCTCCACAGGCATGCTGTGAAAGACCTTTCAGGAAGTGTCTGGTGTTTTTTTGGGCGCTTGTGCCAGCTATTTATGTACAGTATATTTATGAGATGATATTGAAGCATATTTTTTTTCTTGATTCTTTATATTGAAACATAATTAATGTTACTTCATTGAGAAAATTTTGTAGGTGTTTATCATGTTGTCCTTGTTGTTCTGTTTAATGCAATTTTACATGGATTCATCAAAATTTGTTTTTGAGTATCCATGTCGAACGGTGCAAGGCGTGTGTATTTCGTGCAGTCTTATCAAAAATTAACTAAAACTTAGCTATGAAACTAGACGTACCCATGCGGTTACTTACACCCATGCCAGATACGTACGTGTAGAAGAGTCTATTGGACTTATGTTACAAAAGATTGGTTGCAAGTAGTGATTAATTTTGTTATCTCTGATGAAGTTATAGTGGTAAAATTCTATTCTTGTGGTGTATTTCTACTATGATCATAATCCCGATATCCGCTGCTTTTATAGGGATTAACTAAGAAATTTGGGAAAGGCATGCATGAATGGGCAGCCAAGATTGATGAGTATGCACGTGGTATGATTGGCCCGCCAGGATCAACCCTCTTTGAAGAGCTTGGCCTTTACTATATTGGTCCTGTTGATGGACACAACATTGAAGACCTAGTATGTGTTCTGAATGAAGTGGCATCTTTGGATTCAATGGGTCCTGTTTTAGTTCATGTTATAACCAAGGAAGAGCTAAAAGTAGGAGACAATCAAATGAATGCCGGCGAAAATAAAATAATGGAAGGTCTAATCCTGATCTCCTATCCTTTTCCTTTCTTTGACACTAATGCCGATATAGTGGGAGCAAAGTTGATACAATCTCTTATATTGTTGGAACTTCTGTGTTTTTCTGGATAAATGTTGATCCAAAAGGAGCTTAGCTTTAGACTGAGTTTGCTTCAAGGGGTCTCAGAGCAAGCTCAATCCAGAGTTGGGTGTGCTCTTAACAGGAAGTTCAACATGCTTATTTCACTCTTTATGGCTTTATATGTATATACATATATCATATTCATCAATTATTTTGTATTACATTATTTTAATACTATATAATTTGAAAGACATCTTTCCGTCTAGCTTTGGATCTATAGGTTTTCCAAATAACGGTTGAATAAAATCCTGATTGTCTTCAACGTTTATATCAGTTTCAAAGTAGATTTCTAGTAAAGGTCAGGTAAGATCTCACCCTATCTTCACATCTCAAATCGACCTTTATTTCTATCAAAAGTAATTTGAATTTATGCCTTTCCATATATTTGAAAGTGTATGCAAGTACTGTGAGGTGATGCTATAACACTTAATGGCTGCGGCTACTACCTGCCCTACCTTGACCTCCAATAAATTTTTCCTGAATGAAGTTCATAGAAAAATCAAAATTTGGGCATAAATGATTTGTTGTAATCTAGCACACATGGTGTGGTAGTGGTCATTGAAGTGGGTGCAAACCTTGGAGACTAGGGTTCAAATCTCAGCGCTTGGTGATTTCTTTTCATCTGCCTAAACCTTGGTGGGTAGAGTTACCCGGTACCTGTGATGGTAGGAGGTAGCAGGTAGCCAGTGGAATAGTCGAAGTGCACTCAAAGCTAGCCCCGACACCACCGTCATCACCAAAAAAAGAAAAAAAAGAAAAAAAATTTATTGCAATCTGTTTCTGGCCAGGAAGCAGATCCGACTAGGAAGCTGATAGCTTTCCAATTTAATTTTGAGAAATGTTGAGAATATAGTAGCAAACTTAATCTGAATATCAGCTAAAGTATTATTTTTGATAATCGAGAAATCCACGAGGGTTAGTGGCGCACCGTTGGAAACTCACTGGATGATGACATCTATGTGTTATCACTATAAATGGTACTAATGGTTCAACTTTTTATGGTTAAAGCAGGTGCATCTAGCTCAGATACCATACGTTGTGGCACTCGTACATATAGTGATTGCTTTGTAGAGGCCTTGATATCAGAGGCAGAGAGACACAAAGATATTGTAGCTGTTCATGCAGGCATGGGAATGGAGCCTTCTCNCATTCTCTCTCACTCTCTCTCTTTTTTGACGTGCGTACACACACAAAAAAAAACTAGCACACTCACAGAGGATAAAGAATTAGACAAATGTCTTTGTGAGAAAGCACGAGAAAATTATATTATTGATAGCACTTTTCAATATAATACAAAAAGCTAGCTTTGCTCTACATAGTACACATTACTCCTATTCGAATGTGGGACTAGACTACTTATATACATAATACATAACTATCTAACACTCTCCCTCAAGCTGATGCATATAAATCATATGTACCAAGCTTGTTACAAATATAGCTAATACGAGGACCAATGAGGGACTTGGTGAAAATATCTGCAAGCTGATTATTCGACTTCACAAAGTTTGTAACGATATCTCTTGAGAGTAGATTATCTTTTCTTTGACGAAGTGACAGTCAATCTCAATGTGTTTAGTTCTCTCATGGAACACCGGATTTGACGCAATATGAAAAGCAGCTTAATTATCACACACCAGTTCTATCTAACTGATTTCTCCAAATTTCATTTCCTTGAGCTGTTGTTTGATCCAAACTAGCTCACATGTTTCCATAGTCATTGCTCGATATTTTGCTTCTGCACTAGACCGAGCAACTACATTTTGCTTCTTGCTCTTCCAAGACACCAAGTTACCTCTTACTAAAATACAATATCTAGACGTAGAACGTCTATCAGAAAGTGATCCTGCCCAATCAGCGTCTGTGTATCTAACGATCTGCTCATGACCTCGATCCTCGAACAACAGTTTTTTGCCCAGAGCTGATTTTATATACCGAAGAATTCGGACAACTGCATCCCAATGAAATATCAAGTCTAGTCACTATAAGTTAATTCAACTTGCCAACCAGCCGCCTATATCTTGCAGGATCTCTTAGAAGCTCCCCGTGTCCTAGTAGAAGTTTGGCATTTGGATCCATATAAGTGTCAATGTATCTACAACCCATCATTCATGTCTCCTCAAGAATGTCTAAGACATACTTCCGTTTTGAAATAACAATCTATGTTGCTCGGACTCTCTAAAAGTGATGCCGCACCTGTGTCGGATCCTCAAAAAATGTACTAAATTTGGACGATCCGACACGCACCCAACAATATTTTTGAAGAGTCCGAGTAACATAGATAACAATACATGAGCTAGACTGAGCAACCTCAATACCTAGAAAATACTTCAGTCTGCCCAGATCATTAGTTTGGAAGTATTGAAAAAGATGTTGCTTCAAACTAGTGATACCATCCTGATCATTGCCGGTAATAACGATATTATCAACATAAACCACTAAATAAATACACAAATTTGAAGTAGAATGTCTATAAAACACAGAGTGATAAGCTTCACTACGAGTCATGCCAAACTCCTGAATAACTGTATTGAATTTACCAAACCAGGCTCGAGGAGGCTGTTTTAAGCCATAGAGTGACCGACGCAATTGACATAGAAGGCCACTAGACCCCCTAAGCAACAAAATCAGGTAGTTGCTCCATATAAACTTCATCCTCATGATCACCGTGAAGAAAATGTCCTTAATGTCCAACTGATAGAGGCCAATGGCGAACAACAACCATGGATAGAAAGAGACGGACTGATGCTATTTTAGCAACATGAGAGAAAGTATCACTGTAATCAAGCCCTAATATCTGAGTGTACTCTTTGGCAACAAGGTGGGCCTTAAGCCGATCAATCTGACCATCCGGACCAACTTTGACTGCATAGACCCAAGGACAACCAACAGTAGATCTGCCTAAAGGAAGAGGAACAAGCTCCCAAATATTACTCGCATGTAAAGCAGACATCTCATCAATCATAGCCTGTCGCCATCCAGGATGAGACAATGCTTCACTTGTAGACTTAGGGATGGAAATAGAGGACAAAAAAGATACAAAAACACAATGGGGTGATGACAGACGATGATAACTCAAACCGACATAATGCGGATTAGGATTTAGTGCGGACCGTATACCTTTCCGAAGTGCAATCGGTGGGCTAGAGGAGACAAGTCCGCAGTAGGAGCAGGGTCAGGTGCAAAACGTGAATCAGTTGGGCGTGATGCTGGGCGTGGACGACGATGATAAGTCAAAAGTGGTATTCTTGTGGCTGGGGATCTAGGAGGAGCAACACTGGATTCCTCAACGGTTGGTATAGGTAAGACTTTTGTGGCTGAGGATGTAGGAGGAGCTATGGTAAACTCCTCAAGAGTTGGTATAGGTAAGACCTCAGATGTATCAAGGTGGTCAGAAGAGGTAAAGTAAGGTCTAGACTCAAAAAATGTGACATTAGTTGACATAAGGTACCTACGAAGATCAAGTGAGTAGCAACGATATCCCTTTTGAACTCGAAGAATACCCTAGGAAAACACACTTGAGAGCACGAGGAGCTAACTTATCTTTCTCGGGAGCGAAGTTATGAACGAAACATATGCTCCCAAAAACACGAGGGGGAGGAGAGTATAAGGATGACTGAGGAAACAATATTGAATGAGGAATCTAATTCTGGATGGAAGATGAAGGCATCTGATTAATCAAATAACAAGCCGTGAGAACTGCATTGGCCCAGAACACGCAACGGAACATGAGACTCAATGAGAAGTGTGCGAGCAATTTCAATCAGGTGCCTATTCTTTCTCTCTGCTATTCCATTCTGCTGAGGGGTATACAGATAAGAAGTTTGATGAATAATTTCCTGAGAAGTCATAAATTGTTAAAATCCTTAGATAAGTATTCTAAGGCATTATCACTGCGAAAGATGCGAATAGAAACACCAAACTGATTTTTTATTTCAGCACAAAAACTTTGGAATATAGAAAACAACTCAGAACGATCTTTCATTAGGAAAATTCAAGTACATCTTGAGTAACCATCAATGAAACTAACAAAATAACGATATCCTAAGGTTGAACTGACTCTACTAGGACTCCATATATCAGAATGAACTAAAGGAAAAACCGACTCCGCACGACTCTCGACACTACGCGGAAAAGTGGCTCGGGTATGTTCCCAAGTTGACATGATTCACAATCTAATATAGACAAACTAGGGTCTAGGCACCATCTTCTGAAGCTTGGATAAAGTCGTATGTCCTAAACATGTGTGAATTAGGTCTGAAGAATCTGTAACTGGACATGCAGTTGAGGGATTGAGTAAGTCAAGGTAGTAAACGCCTTGTGAATCACGCCCTGTGCCAATCGTCCGCCCCGTAGTGCGGTCCTGCATAATAAATGAGTCATCAATAAAATATATACCACAATGGAGGGCACGAGTCAACCGACTAACAGATGCTAGATTAAAAAGACAGCCAGGGACATAAATAAGGGATTAGCTTGGCCAACTCATTTTGCTTTTGTTTTGACTCCATTGGCTAAAGTAACATTGGGAAGAGGCTGTGAATAAATAATATTTGACAAAAGTGACCTATTATCATAGATATGGTCAGAGGTGTCCGAGTCCATGATCCACGGTCCAAGAGTAGTAGATTGAAAAACACAAGCAAAGGAATTACCAGCACCAGAAGTATTAGTCTGAGCAACAGAGGCTACTTGTGGAGATGTCTGCTTACTTGTTCGATACGGAAGGACTCATTATATTCCCCTTCAGATAAAGAAAACCTTTGGTTACCTGCACTTTTGGTTTGAGCAACATCGGCATTTTTAGGTGGCCGACCAATCAAACAGTAACACACCTCATGAGTATGACCAAGCTTATTACAATAAGAACACTTGGGTCGAGACCTTCCAAAACGACCACCTCCTCGTCTATTCTACATAGTCCGAGATGCCAGATTTTTCATTATCTGGGATGCGAGAACAGAGGAGTCAACTATTTGTGAGGAGATTACTGTGTGACTGGGCGCTACAACAAGGTGAAGTAATCGAGAGAATGGACAGTTGGACTAGCCAAAATCTGGTCACGTACTGAATCAAGGTCATTAAGAAGTCCAGTGAGTGTAAGAACTAGAAACATCTTCTGTCGTTGTTCTTGTTGCTTTTCAACACTAGCAGAAACTGGCATCAACTTCTCAAATACTTCATCAATGTTAAATGATCATTGTTGTATTTAACTTCATCAAATGCTTGTTTGTTTCCGCTTCCCCGCCCACTTTTTCTTTATATGCTATTTCTCCTTTTTTTGTTGTTAATGTTGGTTTTATGACATTGTTTGTCATTTTGATTTGGCTTGACTTCTTTTTGCAGATAAAAATCAGTGTCATCTAAAGTAGGAATGTATTTTAAGTTTGTTTATCAATATACAACGCCGTATTAACTTGTAAATAAATTAAGATTTCCAAAGTCTCAATAAATTGGTCTGCTGATTTTTGGTAAAATTGAGCTTGTTTTTCAATGTACAGCGAATATGTAAATAAATTAAGATTTCCAATGTCCGCAATGAATTGGTCAGCTGGTATCTGGTAAAATTGATTGCTGTTCTGTACTTGTCTGCAGTTTGATAGCTTCCAACTTCAATTTTATACCGGTTCAGTTAATTGACGACTCTTTTATATCTTGTACCGAAGAAATGTTTACAATTTGAGCATCAAAGTGTTCAGATAAACTACAATTTTCTAAAATTTTCTTCATGTTTTACTGGCATCCTTAGGTCATCCATGATGTAGATCGCCAGAAGGTTCCTGTGCGTTTTATTATTACAAGTGCTGGATTAGTAGGATCTGATGGTCCTACACAATGTGGGGCATTTGATATAGCATTTATGTCCTGTTTGCCAAACATGATTGTGATGGCTCCCTCTGATGAAGTTGAGCTTTCTCATATGGTTGCAACTGCCGCCCTTATTGATGACAGGCCAGTTTGCTTCCGCTACCCTCGCGGTGCCCTTTCAGTAATGGACCATTCCTCTGGTAGTGGAATTCCCATTGAGGTAATGTTTCGGCAAAGACATCTAGAAAATTTCTGACTCAGTTCATGACAATAGTAACTCAATAGTTTAGAACGCGTTTGGTTTGAATTGTTATCCATATATTACTTTAAGGTATGTGATATATTTAAGTCCTTTATCCAACAATCACTTGTTTGGATAACGTGATCAGTCTACATAAGACAATCAAACAAGCCCTTTGTATTTGAATTTAATTAGTTAGAGGTTTAGTCCACTTTGCTTGAACATTGCATTTATACGCTTCCTATTTGGTGGTCGAGGAGCAGGTTGGCAAAGGGAGAATACTTACAGAGGGTAAAGATATTGCTTTACTTGGCTATGGTTCCATGGTACAAAATTGTCTTAGAGCTCAATCTCTTCTTTCGAAGCTTGGTGTTGAAGTGACTGTCGCTGATGCAAGATTCTGTAAGCCCCTTGACATAAAGCTTCTCAGACACTTATGCAAGAACCATTCCTTTCTAGTTACGGTGGAGGAAGGCTCTATAGGAGGATTTGCTTCACATGTAGCACAGTTCATCTCACTTGATGGGCAGCTTGATGCAGGAATTAAGGTAAAATTTTATATCGTTTTTGAATCATTTTCTTCGATGGAAAGTTGGAAACATCAGACACATTTCCACAGTGGAAGAAGGATCTGTTTTCCAGTAACTCTTCTGACTCGTGTCTTACTAATATTTCATGGAATGCTAAGAATCCAGCCTAAACTTCTTTCTGTTCTTAGTGGCGGCCAATCACTTTGCCGGACAACTACATTGAGCAAGCATCACCAACAGAGCAGCTTGCTGTTGCAGGGTTGAGCGGAAATCACATAGCTGCAACTGCATTGAGTCTGCTTGGCCGTAATCGTGAAGCTCTTCTCTTGATGTGTTAAATTGTATTCCTTTGTTGTTGTAAAGTGTAAATATCTAAGGCGCTCTCATACCATCTTATGAAGTTTAGAAGGAAAAATACAGAATGTAGAAGGGGAAAAAGAAAAATATAAACAGAACATGAAAAAGTTTTGTGACAAGAAAAAAACAGTCTCTATTTCTGAAAATGGATGCAACAATGTGCCATAGAAAGAAAATGTGACCCCTTTTCCTCCTAGCTCCAACACCCCTCATCTCTTGAAGTTTTATTGACAAATCACTAGCTATTTAAAGAGGTATAATTTGCTGGTATTCCTGTAATGCCAAGTAGAGATGGAAAACAGAAGAAAAGAAAATTGATGAAGCTACTGCCTGTACAAGTGAAGTGATGAAAGCTAATACATGTGAAGAATTTTTGTAACTAAAAATTTCCAAAGTGTCATAATTCTGGTAAATATTAGAGCTGTCAAAATGAGCTTTGCTCATAAGGTTACTACAACCCAAACCTGCTAGCTTTACGGAGACATTTTCCATCGACGGAGAAAATGAAGGGAAAGTACCCGTTGTGTTCATTTATAAGTAGCTTATTACAAAAATTGGCAAATTCATAAAATATTACTAAAGTCAATTAGCTATTTGTAGCAAAAAAAATCAAATTTTTTCTTTCTTTTGAGTGGATATTATTAGAATAAATTGGGTACATCTTGAGGAGTTTGAATCTCAGTTTTGAATTGAAAATTCAAAATAGAAGATGAACATGAAAAAATGATATGCGTATCATTTGTGTATCACATATGTATCATATTTGTATCAAATGTGTATTACATGTATACTCGTGTGCGTGATACACGCGTGATACATGTTTGATACATGTGTCGCAGAAAAAAATTTTGAACTCAATTTTAACTATGAATTTTGATACAAAATCAGTCCAAATCACCTCCAATTTTTCTCAAATTTTTATATTGAATCATCTATATATTTTCAATGAATTTCAACTATACGCATTGAAAAGGTCATTTTTGCTTAGATTTTCGAAATCTTGTATTTTTTTAAAAAATATTTTATCACCTTGTTTGCTACCTCATCCATGAAATTTCCTTTCCGTCTTGCATCTAATGTTGTTGAATGCTGATCACACTTAAAAATATGGAAGGAGATCTTTGCGTGTGATTCTCGGAGAGAAAGAACCTTATTTATTTGGGTTTTCAATTTTTATATGCGCTTGACTAGTTTTAGCAAGTCTATGATTAATGACTAGAGTTTGAAAAATTAGGATTTATTTGGGACATTTTTATAAGATACCCGAAAATAAATAACTTCCCTCTCTAATGAACACAAGGCATTTTTCTCAGTAATTACTTTCAATGCTTAATTTTATATTACTTACTCGAATTAACATATAAACATTATAACTAATATTTAATATTCAAAAATTTCATCAAACACTCTGATATGTTGTAATTGTTATTGATCTTTAATATTTCTATTTATCAACCATACCAGAAAATACTTTTAAGAAAAATATTTTCATGAAAAATAACTTTTGTCATTCCAAAGTCCAAACATATCGAATTATCAAAGGTTCTTTTGCCCTTATTGGGCCTCTCTTGCTTTACAATCAACATTTTGTTCTATGAGCTATTTGCTCATGCAACTTTATGATCTTTTTGTGTAAACTGCACATTCCATTTTTATGATTTCCTTTTTCCATTTTTCCTTTCTCATGTACTTAGGTGGAGATACTTTTTTCCTGTTAAACTTCTATAAATTAAAAAATTACCCCTAAAGTACATCCAAACAGAAGTATCATCCAGTACCTATACCCAAAATTTAATTTTTCAAACAGAAGTATCATCCAAATTACCATTCACAGAGAAAAGTGAGATTTCTATGTCTTACAATCTATTTATGTATATATGTAGTTATAAGAGGTAGGAAATAACGAAAGAAGTAGCTCAAATGAGAATTGAGGAAAAAAATATGACAAAAAAATATACTAGTAGAAAAGTAAACGAACATTACAACATTAACATAAAACAAAAGGACAAGATTCTTATTTTATTCTTTCAATTTATTCAAATGAATTTTGTTGGACAACTCTCTTTATTTGATTGACTCCATGTTTGCATATCTGAGACTGACTACTTCTCCTTGATTACTCACGTCACATGCATAAAAGCAAGGAATAGGCAACAGATTATTATAATTCCATGTCATGGTATGTTTTTCCTTACCTAATAAAGTAAGGCAAAATACATGACTGAAACTTTACGAGCTTATATTTACCCTCATATTCTTGTTTGAAGTAAAATAAATACCACATGAGATTATCAGTCTCACAATGTGAAGTGCATTATACACGCGCCATATCGAAAATTATTTAAATTCTGATTTGTCATTCTTTTCGTTATTTTTGTTTATTCATGATTTTTCATTTTCCTTACATATATTTTTATACACTAATTAATTAATCACTAAAATCAACAAACATGGATGTGGGGAAGAAAGAGAAGGAAAGGGGGGAGCAAAGGCATATTCAGAATTTCAAGAACATGGGTGCACCATGAGCGCCAAAAATCCGAGTTTTCGAGAGGGTGTCTAAGAGATGTATTTTTGATTTAGGAATTTTAAAAATCAAAACAAAGACTAAATAAGAGAAGGAAAAAAATAAAAAGAACATGTATAACCAATATAAAATGGGGAAAAAGAAACAAAAAGTGTATTTAATCAAAAAGGGCGGTAGAGCATGGGGATTTAACCCTATTTATCAATTAAAATATGATTTAAAGAAGAATGAGTACGGGATTGAGCCCCTAATAAAAAGGCAGAAGGTGCACCTCCTTACTAATGCACTAAAGTATTCACTTGAGCTTGGGTTTACCTATATTAATTTAAGTATTTGAGCTAAAATTTACTAGTGTTATATATGATTTAGGGGAAGGAAAATGAGTTCACGTGAACCCGCCTCTTCCCATGTACATCCGGCCTGGGGAGGGCGCGGGGCAGAAGAAGGAGAAAGGGCTAGAGGCGTATCTTTTATTTTTATTGGATAACACATTTTATGCGCCTTTATTTGTTTTTCCTGTTTTTTTTGTCACGTCAACATTTGAGGTGGTATTTTGTTCACTTCAAAGTTCAAACAAGAATAGGGGACAAATAAATATCCGTATAGCTATAGTGTGTAACCAAAATTTTGAACAAGTTTAGAGAGGAGCGTATGTATTTTGCCAATAAAGTAATAAAACTAACCTACCACATGAAGGGTCAGAAACAACAAATCACATGCAGTAAGTGTACTTACTTCTTTTTCAAGTTCTAAGGATCAAATCATGACGTTCATGCATGAAGAAGCAAGATTTGGATAACCTTTTTAGTGTATCCTTTTTATTAATTCACTTTACTTTCTGTACCTTATTCACATTATTTCTAAAACCTTTTTTTTTTTGCACTTCCCCATATTCTTTTATTGATCTTGATCCTTGCAATATATCTTTCAAATCCTAATTTTCTGTTCATATGTTTAATTTGTTTTCGGAAAAAACAAAATCACCGGTCAGTATTTTTTACCTTAGACTAGGGCTGAATAATAGTTTTAGTTCACCTCCTCCTTCTTGAAAAACAAATACGACTAAATATTTAGTGAAGGTAAAATAATATTGGAAAGAGCCAATATGTCATATAGTATAACTGATTAAAAATACCGTAACTAAAAAAAAGGTGAAATGAGTATCTGTATGCGTATTTGTGTAATCTCATTAACATCTTTAAAAGCACTTTTTGCACACAATATTAAAAATTGTGAGTTGATCTCTCACCTACACATTTACAACAACAACAATAACCTAGTATAATCCCACTAGTGGGGTCTGGGGAGGATAGTGTGTACGCACACCTTACCCCTACCCTGGGGTAGAGAGACTGTTTCCGATAGACTCTCGACCCCCTCCCTCCAAGAACTCCCCACCTTTCTCTTGGCGTGACTCGAACTCACAACCTCTTGGTTGGAAGTGGAGGATGCTCACCACTAGAGCAACCCACGCGTGAATGTTTGAATATAGTAAACACGCGTGAGTTTAAAAGAGATGTAGGAGAATGTTTGGTCTGTGAGAGACACAAAGATGGTTCATGTGATCGAACATTTCCTTGTCCAAGCTATATTCTTTCTGTATTTGTTTTTAGTTCATTTACTATGAAATAAAAATAAAGTTTAAATAGGTCGTGTTTTTACCATGACTAACAATTTTCTTGTCTTCTGCTCCTTGGAGTTAGCTCTTCTTTCTCAGCCTTTCATGAATATAATTTACACTACAATTAATATTGGGAGAGATTTAATTTTCAGCGAATTCTTTTCCTAATCTACGGCTTAAATAGTAATTTTAGACTAGTAAATGTTTACCCGTATTCGGTGTTCATAATTTAACCAAGCACCTAGATAAAAATAAAAAGCTAGTGATACTACTTAATTATGCATTATGAAATGATAAATGTGTGCATTTTATATTCGCTGTTTTGTGTAAACACCGAGTGCAAATAATATTTTAATATTTTAGCCTTGGGGCTTAACTACCTATTTTATCGCTACCATGTTAATTACTTGTTTCAAATACAAAACGAGAGACTAATAACTGGTATGGGAGGTGTACGTCACTAGTTGTGGTTATTTTAATACTACTAGTACTATCATTAGTAAAGAGACAATGACAAACAATCTCTTTGAAAGGAATTTTGAATTTTTTTCCTTTGGAGGAAACTAATAAATTCATTTGGTAATATCTCAATGAAAGAAGTTAAATCCACATTGTATGTCCGAATGAGTACAACTTCTTGATTTCATCCTAGTTCATGAACGTCTCCTCTTATGCAAACATACATCATTATATCTCAATGAAACTAAGCTATTTACATTTTAATTATTTCCCATTCCGAGGAAATCATTGAATGTTCATGCATGAACCTCTTTATAAAGTCCTCAAATTAGATAAAGTACCAAAAGCAACAATCACGAAATCTAAATTAATTATAGGAGTATCGATCATTATTAAATGTAGTAACTGTTAGGTGCTTAGATAAGGGAACTAGCTAGTTAGCTGATTTTTACCACAAGGCAAGTATTATTATTCTTCATCTATGGTTGTTTGGTGCAGCCAAAAAGGAAAGTAAATAAACACCTAAATATTCTTTCTTT